TCAAGGGAGGGGCGTGTAAAAAGGAGTGACAGCGCTACACATTTGATGGTTATGTCAATATCAAAACAAAACAAAGGGCACACAAGTTCTTAAATTAGGCATACATACAGGCCGTAAAAATAAATTTATTAAAATGGGAAGCAATATTACTCCCCCTTTATTTTATTTTTTTAATCTGTGTGCAAAAAATGATGAAAATCAAAATTAAGGTGTTTTTCGGGACACACAAAATATTTCTCTTGTAAAAATTAAGGTAAATACGTTTTGTTACAAGATGATCCTCAACATTTATTTATGACAGTTTCTTACATCATCCCCATTCTCCACTATCATTCAATAAATGAATCAGGATATCATGTTATCCACTTACGCATCAATATTATAAGATGTTAGATAAGTCAGTTGACATACACACAGATCCGATCACACATTTTATACATGTGTATGTGTTTATACAAACAGGGCAATAAAAAAACCATGATATTCACATTAAATGGAAAATAAAAATTGTTCATATTTTTTGTTCAGGCGTGCCTCAGTTGTTCCAATATTGCCTGTGGTCGAATGAATGAACAACATGCAGCTAAGCACTTCGAATCTACACAGGTAGTATGCAATTTAATGCATTCATTTGATCATTTGAATGCTGTATGTGTATTAAAGCTAGGCATTAAATCAGCCTTTTATTAGCTTAACTTTATGATATGACTTAGTTTTTACTTGTTGGAATTGTAGTGCCATTAAGTCTTGCATGCATTCACTTAAAACATTGAGCTAAAACTGTAATAAGGGGCCATCCATCAATAATATCAAACTATTTTGGCCAATTTTTTACCCCCCCCCACCCCCATTGTCACAAATTTGTCACAAAATTGAAACACCTTCATCAATCAACATAATCCCCCCCCCCCTTCCACCCTCCACCTTAGATACATCTTGTCATTTATAGGTGGCCCCTTAAAGGTAACTATTTTCATGAATTAATTTAACTACATTATTCTAAGAAGATATTTTTAGTTTATTTTCCCTAACAGAAATAATAGACATGCTTAAAAATAAATTAGTATAGTACATAGATGTTCACAAGCATATGTATTAAAATGTAACAGCCACATTAAATTTTTTGTCCATATTATAAAAATAAGTTTTTTAAAAATATTTATCGTAAATTCTTTTATTTCAGCATCCACTTGCCATTGAAATAAATGAAAAATATGTTTACTGGTGAGTGTTGCCTGTGACTTAAATATTCAACATTCAGCATTTAGAAATAATGTCATACAATGACTTGAAATACTGTGGGGCACTGCGGTCCATTCTTAATCTGTTTCAGAACCCTTTCCAGTTCCAAATCATAAGAGTTCTGAGGCAATTTTTTTCCATTTAAAATAATAGAAACTAGATTAATCCGTTTCCCAGTTCCACAAATTCTATTGATTCTAGTACTTTTCCTGAAGTTCTCAAACCACCCCATACTGGCTTTAAACTCCTACTTATGAGCCCTAGAATCAGGCATGCCTTTCACTGAAGCATCATGGAGGACCTTGGCTTTCTTGCAAATGTATGGTCTCAGAAATCACATTCAGATAGTTTTTTATTAATCCAAAATAAGAGCAGTTTTTCCACCTCCTCCATACTTTTCAGTCACAGAGAGTAGAGGTCATTGTCTTAACCCCTTTCACAACTTCTATATTTTTCAAACTCGTACAGTTGATTAGGGCATCCTGAACATAGCATGATCAGCCACACATACACTGATTTCCTGCTTAGCGATAAGATCTCTTGTAACTTCCATTGTAGTTATAACAGCTGCCCTCTTACTTTCCTCACTCCACTTCTAAGGACCCATGATTACTCTAAATTGTTCTTATTTTTTTTTTAAAGAACACAAAATGGGAACAATAACATAAAATTACCAACCAAAAACATCTGAGATAATCTCACTATAGCTTACATAGATAACATGCTGAATGAAAAAGCATATGCATGGCCGGAAAGCTAGTGAAATGTAAGCAACAAAAAAAAATACACAGCTAACATCCTGGGCATTTGGATTCCAAAGCAGTGTTCAGATTTAGTGTGAAATTTGCTTGAAATTTTCATTCTTCTTCTTTTACTTGAGGGCCCATGACCACTGTTTTGATCATTCTAGCTCCTGGTTTGAATTCTGAGTTTGCCTTCTCTTAGATGAGTTGCCGTCCAAGGCTAGGGAGTCCCATCAAGCCGGGGTGCTTGGGATGTTGGCTTTGGTGGGGATGGAACTCCAGACCACCAGCTATTTGGTTTGAGACAGTTTAGACCGCTCGGCCACCCAGCAATGCCAAGTTGTTCTCTCTAAGTCATTCGGATTCCGAGGCCCACTCTAACAAGAAAACATGAAAATATCAATTATTTTAATTTACATTTCATCAAAGAAAAGAAACTCTTGCAGGATCTGTTAGCTATTAATTTGTATCATGCTCCTTTCATTGACTCTCTGTAGGTTACTCTTGCCGTTGAAAATTGATAGAAATAATCCCAAATTGTCATTGCTTGCTCTTGACCAGTTACATTTGTGATGAATACATTATTGGTGACAATGAACAAGGAGACATTGCAGCCATCAGGTCGGCTCTGACAGACATTGGGACAATGTCCCCAGAAGAAGTCCATGACAAAGGAGGGAAACTGCTAAAATCTTATTCAGACCAGCAAGAGTTCTCCAGGTGAATATAACAGTATGCTCTCTGTTATGCATTGCTGTCTTATCTGTTATGTGGTACTATGTTATCCTATATGTACTACTATCCTATCTGTTATGTAGTACCATCTCATCTATCATGTAGTACTATTCTAAAAAGAATGTTGTTTTATTTTAATCATAGCTTTCATAATGTTTACTGCACAGTGGGGTGACCCATTGACATTGTTCCACACAGTTCTTTTATTTATAAATTACTGACACAAACATTTATATAAACATCTGTCTTTATCATCTGAGGTGGGAAAAGTATTTTCATTGAGTCTGATAAGTAATGAGTAGCTTCTCCATGTCTCTGGTGAGTTTGCTCATTTGTCTGTAATATGATGCCACAGTCTAAATATAAATGAAATCATGTAAAAATAAATGTTTCAGGACCCAAGCTGATGATGATGACAGGCTAGTGACTGCTGTTTGCCACCACAGGTAGTGATTTTATACAGTAAACATTAGGTCTATTCTGTAAACATTCTATACAGTGCATATTCTATCCAGCGCCATTATACATTATTTTTATATGTATATAATTTAGCAATGATTGATCAAATACTTGAATAAATAAACAAAGAGTATTAAAAGAAACTTTAATAATTAAAAAAAAACAGAAACCTCTATTAAAAAATCAGATTGTTATATTTTTTGCACAAATAGTTTGACTAAGTCTAGCACGCCCTGTGAATGGCTTCATTAAGTCTAGCACTTCCTGTGAATGGCTTCATTAAGTCTAGCACTTCCTGTGAATGGCTTCACTAAGTCTAGCACTTCCTGTGAATGGCTTCATTAAGTCTAGCACTTCCTGTGAATGGCTTCACTAAGTCTAGCAATCCCTGTGAATTGCTTCACTAAGTCTAGCAATCCCTATGAACTGATTCACTAAGTCTAGCACTCCCTATGAATTGATTCACTAAGTCTAGCAATCCCTATGAACTGTTTCACTAAGTCTAGCACTCCCTATGAATTGCTTCACTAAGTCTAGCACTCCCTATGAACTGCTTCACTAAGTCTAGCACTTGCTAAGAATTGCTTCACTAAGTCTAGCACTCCTAAATGCATTTTAAAATTGAAAAAAGCAAAAAAACTTCTATTTTGTTTTAAATTGTACAACACTAGACAACACTTGGCTGGGAATATAAATGTGTGCCCTATGACATAAAGTAAAATGTTGATGAAAACAAACAAAAGCAATAGAAACAGTTCCATCAAAAGTCAGTGGCTCCTCTCGGTTCTCATAATCACTGCCAACCCCAGGTTGAGAAACCCAGATTTAAAAAGAAAATATTTTTAATTCATATTGACCTTCCAAGATAAGTTTTAAAATGTATGTGTTGTATGGTTGATTTGTTTCTCTAGGAAGACCCTGCTTGCCAAGATTTTCTCAGCCTGGCAAACATGTATACAGACAGAAAAAGAGAAAAAGGTAACACTTGTATATGATTTCTTCGGTACATGCTCATTGTCTCTAATATCTCTAATACAGCTATCAGTTTTCTTGCTACTTAAAGTAATCAGATCTTTAAAAGTTTATAACTCCAGGAATGCTACATAAAAGTCTGTGAATGTAAATTGTATAAGTGTACAAGTGACCCAATGAATTCAATGAAAGTAAATGGTACAAGTGACCCATTATTTCTTTGAATGTAAATTGTATAAGTGTACAAGTGACCCATTAATTCTTTGAATGTAAATTGTATAAGTGTACAAGTGCGCTAATTCTCTTAATGTAAATAGTATAAGTGTACAAGTGACCCAACTAATTCTTTGAATGTAAATGGCATAAGTGTACAAGTGATCTAACTATTTCTTTGAATGTAAATGGTATAAGTGTTCAAGTGACCCAACTAATTCTTTGAATGTAAATGGCATAAGTGTACAAGTGATCTAACTAATTCTTTGAATGTAAATGGTATAAGTGTACAAGTGACCCAACTCATTCTTTGAATGTAAATGGTATAAGTGTACAAGTGACCCAACTAATTCTTTGAATGTAAATGGCATAAGTGTACAAGTGATCTAACTAATTCTTTGAATGTAAATGGTATAAGTGTTCAAGTGACCCAACTCATTCTTTGAATGTAAATGGTATAAGTGTACAAGTGACCCAACTCATTCTTTGAATGTAAATGGTATAAGTGTACAAGTGACCCAACTAATTCTTTGAATGTAAATGGCATAAGTGTACAAGTGATCTAACTAATTCTTTGAATGTAAATGGTATAAGTGTTCAAGTGACCCAACTCATTCTTTGAATGTAAATGGTATAAGTGTACAAGTGACCCAACTCATTCTTTGAATGTAAATGGTATAAGTGTACAAGTGACCCAACTAATTCTTTGAATGTAAATGGCATAAGTGTACAAGTGATCTAACTAATTCTTTGAATGTAAATGGTATAAGTGTTCAAGTGACCCAACTCATTCTTTGAATGTAAATGGTATAAGTGTACAAGTGACCCAACTCATTCTTTGAATGTAAATGGTATAAGTGTACAAGTGACCCAACTAATTCTTTGAATGTAAATGGCATAAGTGTACAAGTGACCCAACTAATTCTCTATTGATGTCTCTAGCAAGCCCCAGCCACCACATCCACCTCAGGTCAACCCATGATGCTCACAAGGTCAAGGGCAAGCTTGTTCCACATGAAGAGGAGAACCATCATTCCAGGTGTGACAGGGCTCCGTAACCTTGGCAACACATGCTACATCAATTCCATTCTACAATCTCTGGGGTAAGACTTGCTGATATTCAGATCAGTTTGGATATCTCTGTCTTTGTCCTTGCCACTTCAATTTTCCTAGCAAAACAACTGCAGTGGTGAACAGATTTTTATAGTACTCACACTTTTGTCAATAATTACAAAATGGTTTATGGGTTTATATTCTTTCTTTGATTCATATCTCACTGGCTGTTGATTGGCTCACACAACAAACCATACAAGGGAAGACAAATTCAACTGATGCTGACCTCGGTAGCGGTGGGCTTGGAATAGCAAATGTCTGTCGTAGAGTTTACAGGTTGCAGGTTTGGTTCTAAACATGCAGATGTACATTTAAGGATGACAGCCATGTTGCCAGCCTCTAATACAGATGCCTTTCTTTTTGACAGCCATGTTGCCAGCCTCTAATACAGATGCCTTTCTTTTTGACAGCCATGTTGCCAGCCTCTAATACAGACGTCATTCTTTTTGACAGCCATGTTGCCAGCATCTAATACAGATGCAATTCTTTTCTTTGTGCAGGCACCTGGAGGACTTCAGGGAATATTTTTGCCAGCTGGTATTTGGTCTGTTTTCCCCAAGTGGCACCCCGCTCCCTGGTTCATCCCCTTCGAACCTTTCACCTCTGGCAGCCAGAAATCTCCTCAGACTCAACACAATTGATTACTTCCAGGTAGGTGTGGCATTAAAGTGTGGCACAGAAACTAGATCTTGCTTAGCACAGACTTTAAGGGATCATCATTTAATGGTCTGTTTATTATGGTCTCTTGTCAAGGCATTCTTCATTTTGTGGACTGTGTACCTAACCTGAGCCATTTCATCACATTTGTTCACCTTTCAAGTTATCAAACCCATCTTTTTTTTTTCCTGTTGATTTGCTCTTGCTAGCATTTGAACTACCAGCCATCCTCGGAGCTATTCACCCATCCCACCATTCCACCTGTACCGACAATAAAACCTGTGAAGCCAAGCGGCGGTTTAAATGGTGGGGGGAGTGGGGAAAACACGGAGGGAATGGAAGAAATGAGTTCAGATCCTGTCATCAAGGCCAAGGCAGATACACTGAAAACCTTGTGAGTACCAGAATGGATGATACCTAAGTATGTCTGATGTAATGGCAGATTCTTTGAGGGCATGTGCTAGCTTTCATTCTTAATTTTGTTTCTTAAAATTAGTTCTAAGAAGTAAATTGATAAATTATAGACGAGCGAAAAAATGGAACATCTTAAATAATTTTAAAATATTTTCTTTGACAATTTACACTAAAATATCTGAGTTATGAATGCCATTGCCAAAGTTGACTATTTGTAATGTGTGCTATCCTCATCACAATAACACAATTTCTCCATTTGGCTATTTGTCATGTGTGCTATCCTCATCACAATAACATAATGTGTTCATTTGTTGCAGGTCTCTGTGTCAGGAAATGCATGGCTTGCTCCGAGTCTTGTGGTCGGGGAAGTGGGCGCAGGTCAGCCCCCATGGATTCCTCCACGCCATATGGAAGTACATCCCTGTATTCAAAGGTCACCTTCAGCATGATGCCCAGGAATTTTTATGGTAATTCAATTCAGTTCTTTGTTTTTA